TTGTTATTCATTGAATCACTGACACTGTATGGTCTCAACACAGTGCGTGTCATAAAATTAGAAAAAAAGATTGTCAGTGGTGGGGGCCTACAGCTTAATGTGGGCTCTGAACCAAATGGGGGGAGGTTGATATTTTTCACATTTCCAGTTTTGTCTGTGGCAGAAGTAAAGATTTCACTATAAGGAGAAAAATCTGCATCACGACTTGAACTGGGACTGAACTTAGAACCTTCAGAATGAGAATCCACGAACTTACCTTGAGACCACATCACTTAATAGAAAAGCGTATAGGCACTGGAATCCATTGCTCAGGGAATGAAAGATGTCGGAAGATGGCCAAAATGGCTGAACTTCTCTGCTCACCTTGAAGACTTTAACATAATAGATTTTATAGGTTTTGTTCTTACCCATAAGGAATGGCTGGATGCGAATGAAAGCACAAAACAAAAGACTGGAATGTGGTGAGAAGGTGCATAAAAAAATTAAATGCATTTGAAATATATTCCAATTGTAAATGTTCATACACATAATTTTACTTTAGAACCTCAAATATAAAGGAATAAAAATTCTGAGTAATGACACAGTAGAAGTGTTACAACAGTTTTATGCTTGTTTCTTATAAATAAAACTGCTCAAAACAATATGTACTTGAATACTGAAAGTCTCTGTCTTCATGATAGAGCATCATAGCAGCATTTAACTAGCTCCAAGGAGCACAGTCCTGTCTGAGAAGCTGATAGTTGCTCTGGTGTCAGAAAATTCCCTGTCTTTAACGGAACATCAGTGCATTGTTCACAAGATTTCACTGCTGGAACCTATCCTGAGACAGTTGAATCTATTGCACCCCCTCCTTGTTTCTTTAAGATCCATTTCAATGCCATTTTCATGCAAGGAATCAATTAGATCACATCGTGGTACTTACATTAAAATCGCCAACAGTGAGAGATTTTCTCACTGTTAATCAGTAGGCAGTGCATTTTAGCAAGTAGACTGTATTAAGTATGACTACCAGTGCTTAGAGGAAAGAATAGGTTTTCACACATGTTCTGTACTTCCTGTCATTTTAAGTTAATTTGAGGTAGTGCTGTCGGTTTTTCCTTGCAAGTGCATGTGCCCCCAAATAGCATTGGCATTTCAAGTAGGTAGTTCTTTTGGCAGGGCTTGACAGTCAAAGGGTTAAGATTAAGACCTTCAGGAATGTGATGCCATGTAGTTTGGTAGATGAGCACCGGGCTTCTGGAGGCGCCTGCTAACTTCATCTTCAGGTATCGATCTACCATACTTGATGGCATTCCATCCCAGTTCCTTATTTTCACTTTTGGTTCATTCAGTACATATCATGGTTGTAAACGTATAAGCATTCGCATTTGGTTTATTCTTTGTACTTGTGAACATAAAACGCTGTGAATTTATTGCCCAGCGAAGCAACTATTAACTTCTGAAGATCTCTTCTTCATCGAATAGGTCATTAAATTTTGTTTAGCACATGGTTTTGTATGTTATGTCTTAAAGAACCAAGACATTAATTGGTAATGTATTCATAACTTAAAGAGTCTAATGTCAATATATTAGGAGTGTTTCTCATAAGAGATATCAGTAGCACCCATCACTCTACATATCCTTACAGTTCTATGATATTATGCATTATATTCTGTGATGTCACTTAGATGGCAATAACAGTTTTGTGTGTGAGGTTTGGGGTTCTCATGGCAGTGAGTATCATATTGACAGTCTTTTGAGTTGTAGTGCCTTATATTTTGGTAGAAAGGTACTGACATTCTAGAGACAGCAGGTACTACTTAAATATTGGTATTTATGTACCAAACTAACAGGATCAAGTCCTAGAGGTTTGTAATCCTGGATAATTTTGTATATTTGCTGGAAGTACCCTACTTAGGGTTTTACAAAGTATGGTTCACGAGTGTGGTTTATCTTATTCTGGTTACAGGTATCTGAAGTGTGAGACTGTTAGCTCTCATATCTTTCAGAATTTGTTTTATCTGTTTTATACTGGGAAACTGATTTATGGAAAATGTCTCTTTGTTCTCGTTCACATCCTCTGTGGCGCTTCTAGCAAAATCATTCTGTTCATTTATCTATATGCATGAAACACTTGAAGTGAATAAATTGATTTCCATTAAGTTTCATGCTTGGAAGTTTACTAAAATCTATCGGCACATTCCAGTTTTGATTAAAATTGAACAATGGTAATGGATATTTTATGTGCATTTCTGTTAATATCTCAAGCATAACTTGATAAATATTTATCAGTTGTAATAAAAGCTGTAAAGAAAAATGGTATACACATTTTGTCTCCAGTACAATCTGTCAGCAGGTTTTACAGTTTTCTAGATAATTAAATTCTCTGACTTTGTTATGTTATGCATATATTCCAGTCTTATATTCAGCAATCAACATTTCTGTTCCCAGACACAAAGATCGCCACAGTCTCTTATTGGTGATAATAAAATGAAGTTTCAGCCTGAATTAATAGGTCTACATTTATATCAATATGTATTTAATTAAAATGTAATTTGACTTGCTCTGCAACTATTATTTTATTAAAACTTGAACTTTGTTTCTTTGAGGTTATTAAAAGGGAGAGAATGTGCCAGAAGTTTTATGCTGTGTGTACATTTCCTGACTCCTTTTCAGTGGAAATTAAGTGATAAAAATGAGTGAAGTTTTCTCTTATAATCTTCATTTCATGCATCCTGTTGTGTTACAATATGTAACTTTATTTTCCGTCACAACACAACAAATAAGGAGTATCTAGGTCAATACACAGCTATGCCTCACTACATGTTTCGGCTGTTAAAGCCATTATCAGGTGAATACAAATCAACAAACGGATACTATTGAACTGTGGTAAAATTAGATACAATGACAAAAATAGTTAATTCTTTTGTGTAAAAATACAACGGTCATTTATATATAAAACTGAAGGTTATTATATAAAACAAGATTAAAATTGATGTTTTATAACATCTGATCAGTCGTATGTTTACTTTATATGTCTCGTGGACAAAATAAAAATAAAAGATGGTATTGGAGGCCCACGACGTTGCAAGTTAATTAATCTGAATATATATAAAAAAGGAATAGTATGAAATATGTTACTTGAATATTTAAATTGAAGCTGTAGTATATATAACATGTACCTACAGAGTAGAGGTGCCTTGTGATACGAAAGAAAATGTCCATACTGTATGAGTGAACAATGACTGATTTGTTGATGTGAAGTTAAAGTTGACTCAAGGGAAGGAAGGGGGGATAAGGTATCTGGGAAGTGAAAGTAAAGGAGGGGGGGGGGGGTAACTGCATGTTATGTTTTGAAAGTATTGATTATAACATTGTATATGGGGTTGAATATTTCAGTAAAATTGTAATTCATTTG